GGGCGGAACAGATCCATCAGGTTTGTTAAGCTTGAAATTTTAAATATTGTTAAGAAGCTTCTCTTGGAACACCGTTGGAACAATCACGATCATTAAATGAGGTTCTGGAAGTGTTCGCAGGTACAGAAAAATTTAAACCTACTCCTGAGAGCTCTCCAAGGAAGGATAAACAAGAATGTGATGGCTTTCCTGCTTCAGCCTTCAAGGGGTCCTGTCCAACTCCAAACACTAATTTAGTCAATGTAACTTTGTGTCTTTCAAATGGAGGAACTGATCCGGCAGGTTTGTTCTAAGCTTCTGTCTCAGAATGATGAGTTCTATATTGTTCACTCGAGTTCATTATTATTTCCACTAATCAACGGGAATATGGACATGCTTGCATGCAGAAACAGCGTTCCTAGATCATGACAAACGTTACCATTTGATTCTTAGTTCTGAAAGTGACAAGTATTGGATGTAACTCTCGCAGAATTTTTAGTATCTTGACAATTTTAGACGTCCTAAAATTCTACTCTTGCTTCGGATTGAGGTTGATGAATATGAAATTGAAATTTATGTCAAATCAACTGTCACTCTGCATAAATACTATTTTTGTTAACCCATTCTGTTTTCGATATATAGTGTTTTCTCCTTTCTTGCTTTCTGGTCAGTTTCACTTGGTAATGTGATTTGAGTAACTGGCTCTTTGTGAGGGCAACATCTTTTCTAAAAAGAAAATGCTTTCAAGTGTTAACATCAACGTAAGATACTGCGTGATACTTTAGTATTTAAGAGTTTTATTGTTGGTATGTAAGTGTGGACACCATTTTGATGCATCTACTACAGAACATGGTAGTAACATTTCTACCGGGACTGACTTCTGTAAAGTTGATTAGACAATTTTATATTTTGAGTCCAGAAGTTCGAGGTGGCATTCGTCAAAAGGAGCACCAATTCGTTCAAGTGAAGAACAAGTCTCATAAAGTCTTGTTCTCTGAAGAGTTTGAAAAAAAACATCTTGATGTTGCTTCTCAAGGTAAACCTGATGTCAACCTGCAAGAGCCGCACCATTTTAGTTCCAGTGTCGATATTAAAAGGCAAAGTGAAGAATGTGTTGAGCAAAAATTGGAAAATGAAAGCACATCCAAAGCTGAGTTAATTGAGCTAAGCGATGATGATGAAGATGTACATGAAGTTAAAGCACCTGCATCTGAAGACCCAGATTCTGCACTGTGGCATTGTATGAGTCCTCTTGGTGAAACAAGGGGCCCCTATAAAATGTCATTGTTAAGGCAGTGGAACAATTCAAGTCGTCGTCCATTGAAATTCAAGGTTTGGAAGGAGGGTCAAAGCGAGGAAGAGGCAGTGTTTCTTGATGATGCCGTTCGCCAAAGTCTTCCCAGTACGTAGATGTACTACTTTGTCAGTCTCCCGTGCATCCAAGTTGAAAGGCGATCGGGTGCCAAGTGATTTTCCAGAGGCTAATAGGTACGAGTTTTTTGAAGAAATAGAAGAAAACTTTCTTTGTGAATTAAACCTTCAGCCTTTAGGGATGATTAAGCAGACATGATAGTGGGGGCAATGTAAATAGCAAAAGCAAAAGTTGGGTATATTATGAAATTAAAGGAGTAAAATTAGGAAGAAGGCGATCAAGTGACAATTGATCTTGCATCTTGTTTTGGTTCTAAAAGAAAAGTTACTAATATCCGTACATCGGTTTAAGTTGCATGGAACCTAGGCCCATTTGAAAGTCTTTTGTTTAAGGTTTAGTGTGTCTGTAGTGCATCTGTAGTGTTTTCGTGCTTGAGTGGTTTGTCAGTAGTATTCTTGTAGTGTATTTTTAACAAGTGAGTCTAAAGTTTCTTGGTATTTTGAAAGTCCCTTGTTCAAACATAGGCTTAAAGTTTGGAATGCGAAACCAAAATTACATCCCAAATTTGCTTCTTCACGAATGAAATGTGGGTTTTAATCCAGTCAGAGGATTTACCTCTCCTTATGGTGGGTGTGTGTGGGGTGGGGCCCGTGGGGGAGGGACGGTGTGTGTTAGCTTCACAATAAACTAGTAATAATATGGTTCAAATTTACCTTTAGCTTATCAATGTTAATTAATGAAGAAAAATATCACAATTATTAAACAATATAATAATAATTCGCCTTTTGATAATCCAATTTGATTCCAAGCAAGCCCGATAATTGATTCTTGGGTTAAGAGGTAACGCAAATCATATTACACAAGCTGACGTGGAACAAGGGGGCCGCCAGGTTAGAATTTTTTTATAATCTTATATAAAAAGATCTCCATAATTAGCAGGCAATCAAGGTGGCACAACTGAAAAGTCCATTATATTCCCATCCTATATGGTGGTATTAGTCTCTCCTTGTAGTTTATATTTGGCCAGATTGGAATATTAGTCTCCGTGGTGGTGATATAATAGATGGAAGATAGTCTTTGTGGTAAAAGAATTAGGAGTTAAGCACCTGTGGTGAAATCTGTTAGGATTTATGACTAAAATTGAAAATTCCGTCAACTCCGTTAATTATTAGCACATGAGCTACACATATTTGTAACATCCCACATCGTCCAGGAGAATGGATCATCTAAGCCTTATATGTATATTCTCATCTCTACTTAGCACGAGGCATTTTGAGAGCTCATTGGCTTCGAGTTCCTTAGGAACTCCGAAGTTAAGCGAGTTCACGCGAAAGCAATCCCATGACGAGTGACTCACTGGGAAGTTCTCCTCTGAGTTCCCAGAAACAAAACCGTGAGGGCGTGGTCGGGGCCTAAAGCGGACGATATCGTGCTACGGTGGAGTCGACCCCGGAATGTGATGGGGGCCCAGGCCGGGATGTGATATATTAGGCTAAAATGGAACTCTGTTAATTAGTAGCACGTGGGGCTACATGTGAGGTTGACTTTATATTTTTAGTTTCACATGTGAGCCTTATGTGCTAACATTTAACAGAGAGTTGATGGAGTTTTCAATTTTGAGTCTAAATTCTAACATACTTCATGACAAGAATTTAAATCCTAATCTTTTTACCTTAGAGGTTATCTTCTAACTACTTTATCACCACGAACTAATAATCTAATCAAGCCTTTTTATTTTTCAGATTTTGTTTGTTTTAATACTATAAAGTTGCACTATTGCTAAGCAAATAAGTAGTGGCACGGCAACGACACTAAAATGATGGCACGTTTTGTTGAGAGAGGATCCTCGGCGGATCTTCTAATCACATTCATTCATTGTACATCGTGCGATCAATTTTCGTCAGGTACTGTTTATATTCAATTTAAAAAAAAAAATTTACGATGATTTTTTACCGCATAATGTACGATGAACGGATGTGATTTGAGGATCTCTGGAATTCTTACAAAGAGGATCCAGCGAGGATCCTCACTCCGTTTTGTTGGCCATCTATAAAATAAACAATGGTTTGACAGTTTGTTAAGGGTATTCAATTTTGTTTGCACTCGAGATTCTGTGTTAGAATTTTCTTTTTAGTAGTTTAATGTAGATATTTTATAGTTTGTCAAAAAAAAAAAAAATTATTGTTGTTCTACTTACCTTAATATTTTCGATTAAAACAACAAAAAATATATGTAGGATGATTCATGCTTGATTGGAAGTCAAGTAAGATTTTTTCCTTCTTTATCATTCTGTTTTTTATCATATATAAAATGATTTATCATGTGATATGTCACACCCCGTCCCGAAGGAGGGCATGCTGGCCGTCACGTGAGAGTGACGTAACCATTTACACAGTTCGTAAGCTTTAAAATATACAACTTCTAAGATGAACCACCCGAAGATGAGTCCTCATTTGGTCCATTCTGTCAGAACACCGTTGAATTTCCTCGTAGTCACCACAACTTTGCAATACTTGAACCTGGAGGGGCGCAAAACCAAAAGTTGAGTGGGTCAGTAAAACAATTCTTTTTCAAAACCTTCTTTTCTCTTTGAATATACTAACCCCTCGCCGTAACACAAATATAGTTTCCCAGAAATAAAGTATATACTCTTATACGTAATATATCTCAAATTATGCTAGACAATATGAATGTATGTCATGCCAAGTATCATAACAGAATGCTCATCATCTATATGTGAATATGATGGAATAACATATAATCAATTCAACATTCGGCTATAAACATAGCTCATACCCTTTCATTCTAATCAACTCAGCCCTCGGCTGCATATATAACTCATAATTAACTCATCATAATCAACTCAATCATCATAATTAACTCACCTAAAGTGACCTGTACGGCTGAATCTAGAGCTCAAATCTCAATCTCAATAACTAAACAACTGAACCTGACCACGATGTCGGAACCACTTAAGGTGGTCTGTACAACAAGGACTGGGTGTGACGTATATATATACGCTCAAGTGCTACGATCACGTGAAGGCTGGGCGAATAATCGCGGGTCACCTACGAGTCGAAACCACCTAATGTGGTCTGTACGACAGGGCTGGGCACCTAGCTTGGATCCAAGCTGAGCATAAGGTGCGGGGAGGTGAACATCACGTGAAGGACTGGGCCCTGCTCAGGGCGGAAGCACTCACACGGAGGGTGCAGGTTATGAGCTCTCTATCACATCTCTATCATATCATTCTTCATATCTCAATCATATCTCATGATCGTTATCAGCATAATATCTCAATCGTATCTCAATTATATCTCAATCATATTTCAATCATATCACAATCATAATTCATTTGTATTTCCATAGTATTTCAATCGTATTCCAAACGTATTTCATACGTATATCAAATGTATATCAAATGTAGCTTACCTGGGCCTCTTCAGCACCATGCAACAGTATGCATAATTATGGTAATGCACATATTAAAATACGATGCATATATGACAGGATATTCAATTCGTATTTCTTTTAAAATACGTTTTCTGGGAAATACGTCAAGCATACGTATATATACGAAAACAAAACTGCCCACTCACAGATCACATCGACGTCTCGTAGGTCCCTGAGCCTCCCCTAGATTGGTTACATTCTTCTTCTGTATAATTTTCACCTATACAAAAAGTAACCAAATTAACGTTATTTAACGCACATACACCAAACATTCGTCAATAACTTTCTCATACGTTGCTCGATTTGGGTATGTGAATATACCACGATGATCTACACGACGTCACGAACGCGTGACAATTTTCAGAACTCAATTTGGAGGTTCCACGCGCCCAGTCTACGCGCTGCCCACGCGCGCGTCTTCTTCCTCGCGTCGCCGGACTGGTTTCGCCGGAGGTGGGTGTTTTGCCGGAATTTCTGGGTAAATTTCAAAGTGTCATAACTTCTTCGTTTCTTAACCATTTTCGACGTTCTTTATATCAAAATGAAGGTATTGACGAGACGAACACATCCATACCTGCCTCGACCTCTAACTCGCCCTGGATTCGCCGGAAAAAGCCTCGAAAGCTCCGGCCAACTTTGAACCAAGCTATCCCGACGTCCAAATTTGTCCAACGAAGCACTCCGAGGCTCCTTGGGACCTCACTAAGACATCTACAAGCTTCAAAATCCCAAAAACATGCTAGATTAAGTTTGCATGAATAGTACCTAAATCGGACTACCTCGAATCGACATGAAAACGAAGGATTTCTCACCTGAAAATGGTATGGTTGCACTCGTACGAGCTTCACGAGTTCGAAGGTGTCCTTAGTTTCCTCGATCTGGGACAATTTGAAGGGTTTTGGGTTTGTCCGTACAAGCGTGAAGGAAGAAGAAGAAATGGGAGCTCGGGAGAGAGAGAGAAGTGACAGAAAAGAGAGATTTGTGAGGGAGGAGAGAGAGAGACAAGTTACAGAAATGGGGGAGGGATTTGAGGGATGTGGGGTCCTACCCACTCCCCAAATCATCAAGTTATAACATATTTTACGCCCCTTAGTTCCGTTTAAGGGCATTTTCATAACTTCACGTCCTCGGAATTAAAATTCCGGGACGGGTTGTGACAGATAGATTTGACTTTTATGAATGGTGAGTTTAGTATTTAGTTATGGTTGACCTATTATATGAGTCAACCCCAAATATCGTTAATATCAAAATATAAATTTGTAAAGCATCAATACCAAATTAATATTTTATCAACTAATACAATCGTCATTTGATAGTCGACCCCTAACTACTAGAGCGTTGTAAATATTAGGCATCTTGCACAGTGGAAAAGCTACATCCAGTACCAGACCAATGATTTGAGTGATACACCCCAAGTTTTTTTTTTTTTTTTTTCAAGCGTAGGAACTCTAGGGCCAAAAGTAGTAAGATTTATTCTCATAGATATAATTCATGTGAATATATGTATGGATTAAGAACCTAACCCCCAAACCTTTTAATTTCATTCTAATTTGGTTCAACATTTTTAAACATTCCAAACAAGTACCAAATATTAAAAATGTCACATTCGTTAAGTCCCAGTTAACTTTTCAAACATTGATTATATTCAAAATGCACCAATTGGGTATATCATCGACAAAATTAATATTAGCTGCCTCAAAATCTAAATTTCACAAATAGATTATATAATATGGAACCTAATGATCAAATACGAATTGAATTGAATCAAATTGAAAATGGACCCGAATTAAAATTACACCAAGAGGACAATCTCTTAATAAAGAATAGGGCAAAGACATTGGATTCAAAGAGCTTGTTTTTGCTCATATGATTTCCTCATTCGCCTATTCTTGGCTCGTAAAGCTTTTAGTTCTTCTTTGTGGGCAGTGAAGATGGTGGAGGCCATATCATGGCAATCCATATTATTTCAGCAACTTCCATGAACTTTTTCTCGATGTTGGCGGCTTGATTTGTAGGGTAGAGTCGGTGATTTTGCTTTTGAGTTTGGAGATGATGGCCTGATGGTGGTGGTGTAACCATTTATTGGTGGAGACTATGCTTCGATGACTTTCTATTAATTTTAGAGACGAAGTAAGTCTAGTTAATCTAACAAACTTTTAACTGAAGGTTAATAGATGTGACATTTTCAATGGGTTAGGTACTTGTTTAGAATCTTTAAAAAGGTTGAGACCAATTTGAAATGACAGTAAAAGGTTGGAGAATTTAGATACTTAATCTTATATGTATTTATCACCATCTAACCGTCAAAATGGTACATTGTATTAATACATATAAATATTATGGTTAAATCCTAAAAATTATAGTTTTGTATCAAGTAACTTAATTTCCTAAACTAAAATTCCAAATTTACTTTTGACTTTCTTTTAATAATAATTCACTTTCTAAGTTGGGAGTCTTTCTTTCTAAAGGATATTGAATTAATCTCTTATGCAATGATTGAAAAGAAAAAAAAAGACCGAAATCAAAAGAAAAAGAGGAGGGAACGAAAAGACAGAATGATACCTGTTAGAAGCAAGTTAGGGCGAGTATCTGGGAAAGTTAGACGAGCAAGTAGAATACGCGAGTGGTGGTGGCGCATTTCCCCTCCACTATCCAAACATTCCAGCGTATATAACACTCTCCCGCGGCGCACGCTTCGGATTCCACGTCTCTTTCAAGTCGTCATCGTTATTTATTTTTTTTAACAAACAGTATTATTTACTTATTAAAAGTAAACTAACATTTTGATTTTAACTCTAATTTAATTTAAAATACTGCTATCCATACATACATTTTTATCTTAAATTTATCATTTTATCATGTTGGATAGCATCATCTTTTATGTACCTACAATAAGGGGAAAAATTGAGTTTAACCTTACAATGAGCTAGCAATAATATGATTCAAATTCGCTTTTGGCGTTTACAAATGAAGAGAAATATCACTAGAACGTAATACTAAATTGCAAAAAAACTTACTATGTTATTTATTAGCAACACCATTTCATTAAGGACATATTTTTGCTCATTAGCCCCAAATAATAGTTGTGCTCACCACCGTATTCATCATGATTTTTTATTTTGAAATTTGTGTAAGAAATAAATCCTAAATTTAAAAATTTAAATTTATACAAAAATAATAAGTAGCGTCGTTACCACTACACAATGCACTCTTTAATTTAAACCCACTTCCATGCCTCTTCTTCACCTCTCTGAGTCTCTCTCCCTTCCAAATACACCAATTAATTATGATTATTTATTTATTTATTTATTAATAGTTGGTAATCTGTCTCTGTCTCGTCTTTTTTTACCTGCGTTTAGAATTGAAACTGGGAAGTGCTGGAAAACGACATCGTGTGGTAGGGGCTTGGCAGCCAACCCTCTTTGCATGCGTGCCTTTTGGCATATTACTGTATTCTCGACTTTTGGGTGTCCAAAGACCGACTTTTTTCTTTCCAATTCCTTTCTTTTCTTTCACATTTTGTATTTACAAAACTTCAAGCCCAAACAAACAAAGGAAACAAAACAGAACTTGTCTTTTCAACTTCTTTCTTCTTTTCAAAGTTCCCTGAAAGTTGCAGCGCCAATGATCAATCCTGTAAGCCTCCCTTTCTCTCTCTCTCCTCTCTCTCTCTTCTCTGATTATCTTTAACTGTTTTCCACCTACCAACTTGATAATTATTGTTTTCGGGTTTAACGAATTTGGCTTTGTTTTGGAGTTTGAATGCACCCAATCCATTTTTCTTGTGTGCTGTTTGGTTGCTGCGAAAAAAGTAGTCGTTTTGTTCTGTTTGGTTGCTGCGAAAACGTAGCGGTTTGTGCTGTTTGGTTGCTGAGAAAAAAAAAAAAAGGAGTTGAAATGGAAGGAAAATGGAAGTCTGGGTTACCCATGAGTTCAATTTTGTACAAGCTATGGATATAAGAACTTGAATGTTAGCTGCGACTTTTGGTTTGTTATTTTTTTTTCCTGAAAATAAATTATCTGAGACTTTGTTAATAGAACAATGAAAAGTCTTCAAATTTGAGACGGAGTTATGATTCTCTGCGATTAAAGTTGTAGGCTTGCAGCACATTAACTTGAGAATTTATTCGGGGTAGCGAAATTTGTGTTGCTATGTATAAATTGGAATGGTGAATCGGTTGAAGGAAACTTACCGTCTGTTGTCTTTTAACTGCCACGAGTTGAATCCCGCATAATTGATGGAAAATTTGCCTTTTTTTTTTTTTTTTTTTAATCTGCATGTTAAGTATTGACAAGAATTTCTTCGGCTAAGAAATGAATTCTTTTGCATTGATTTTAGTTTGGATTCTGGACGAATGTTTATGACTACTTGTGCATTGAAATGACTCCTATTTTCGTTCTTCCTTCATCGTGTTCTTTCCTATTTATCCTCTCCTGTCCTGATATCACCAATCAACGCCCTTGATGGGATCAAGTGTAATGCAACGTGACTAACTTTTAAGATTACTTTTCTCATTGTTTTTTCTCAGGCCTCTACGCTGTCAGACCTAAAGAATAGGTCATTCTACTGCAGCCTCTTCATTGTATCTTCATTGATCTGCGGGGCTTACTTCATCGGTGGTGCATCCATTGCTCAGGAGTACAAGGAAGTATGTCTTTTTGTTCTGCAAGTTGTGTACAGTGTGCACCTTTTACTTCTATATTAACAATAAAACAAAGTTCTGATGCCTTTTCTGTATTATCTGTTATCAATTAAATAGTCCCAGAAATCTTTCTTGCAGAAATTAACAAGATGGAAAGTGATCTACAATACACAGAATACAACTTTGCATACATGCAAGGTTTGCGTCTTACTGGGAAGATTGAGTGTTCTTTTTATGGCACTTTAAGTTACTTCTATTGCTGAAAATTTCTCCCCCTTCATCCTCAGAATCATTGCCAACCTTCAGGGAGTGAGGCATTACCAAGAGGAATTGTTGTCAAAACATCGGACTTGGAAGCGCTGCCTTTATGGGGTTCATCTGTGAAAAATGTATGCTAAGCTATGGCGAGTTCTTGTTGATTGATAAATGATAACGCATACATATCCTTTGTATCAGAAGCATGACTTTCATGTTGCTAATAAGTGTGTTATCCCGTCTTCCGTGTGCCTTTTATGTATCATTTAATAAGTGAAGGGCATATTAGTATGCTGGAAACAGCTTACTTGGATGACATGTTTTATTAAACATCACAGTAATTTCAAATATAAAGACAAAGCTCTAAAATGTAATGAACTGTTCAAGTCCCTTTTTTCTTTGCGATATTTTTAGATGCAAATTTTCATCTTACCTTGCTTAGTAACCTTAAGATAATATGGTCCCGTTTGATAATATTTCATTTTCTTAGTTTTAGTTTCACTTTTTGTGTGATACCCGAGGAACAGATATGGGGAAATTGAGGGACGAAGAAGAATGATGGAATGAGAGGAAAATAAATAAAGAAGCATGAATGCAAACAAATCTTAAAACAACTTAGCATTCATTTTATATGCCTTTTGCATTTGTTCTACCTCTCTTTTACATCATTTATCCAATCTTCTCTATCCCTCATCTCTCCATTCTTCTACATCTCTTCCAATCTCTCCCAACTTAAAATGGTTGCTTGACTGGATTTGTTGTGTTTTCTATTTCCTTCCGAACAAAATTGCTTGTGGCATCTACTGTCCTCTTAAATTAAACATGCCCTTGCACCTGTTTACTTTGATGTAAATCATTATCTCAAATCAGTACGGAACTTTTTAACATATATGTTTCTTTGCAATAGACTGCAAAATGTTGGAGAATATTTTTTTGGACTTTTCGTGCAAATAAGAAACCTTGAAATTTCTAGTTTAGGGACACAAATTCTTGCTTCCACCTGGTTCATTCCTATTAGTACTCATTATCTGCCTTGTTAATACATTAAAATGTGTTTGTTTGCGTATATATCTATATATATTTTTCTTTTATTCTTTTCAGGTGTTTATACTGCCTAAAATTTGCAAAATTCTTATGTCAGGAAAACTCAAAACCTTCTAGGAGCTTGCTGGCAATTGCAGTTGGAATAAAGCAGAAAGAGATAGTGGACAAAATTGTCAAAAAGGTAGTGATACATTTGGCTCATACCCTTCACATTAGAATATTTTCTCCATATTATTCTAAATATCTGCTGTTGTAATGCAGTTTCTATCAAGTGATTTTGTTGTAATGCTTTTTCATTATGACGGTGCGGTGGATAAATGGAGGGATTTACCTTGGAGTGATCATGCCATACACGTGTCTGTGATGAATCAAACAAAATGGTAACAGTTATTCTCTCACATGGTTACTTAAACTATAGCTAGTTACCCTTGGGTGGGAATGCTCTATACGTGTGCGGATTACATCTTAATGAAACAGTACTGTATGATGACATAGGTGGTTCGCCAAACGTTTCCTGCATCCAGATATAGTTTCGGAGTACAAATATATTTTTCTTTGGGATGAGGACCTTGGAGTTGAGAATTTTGACCCGATGCGGTAAGCATCGTCGCTTGACTTTTTAGAATGATATTGGCATCTGTATAGTGATTACTGATGAATATTGCATATCATTCTTGTCTGCTATGATCCTAAGATAAAATAGGCAATATGACACCACATACTTTTATTTTCGACTTACAAGACTTCGGACTGACATCTGTACAGATAACTTTAAAAAATTCCCATTTGATAATGTTCATGTTGACTGGAATATGGTAATTAAAATGTAGTTAACTGGAATATGAAATGGTGTAATCACAAAGTCATTCAATCAATGTTTGACAGACAAGAAAATAGGAAACTGATTTGATATCACACAGAGATATAATGCATTGTGTTTTGAACATGTCATGCAGATATCTATCCATAATTCAAGAAGAGGGACTGGAAATATCACAGCCAGCACTTGATCCTGACAAGTCAGAGGTGTATCATCCAATCACTGCACGTGTGAAGAATTCAAAAGTGCACAGGTTAGTGTAGGATGTTTTCTGGAAAGTGGATTTCCTTGGTACCTGTAGTGTCTAATGTTGAAGAGACCAATGTAACATAGGACTCTTAGTACTTGGGCTGCATCCTTGCTTTAAACCGATCTCTAAATATACTATAGTCATGAACTTCCAAAATGAGAAAACCTAGAAATTCCAAATTGTATCGTCTCTTTTTATTCCAAATTCTCTCTTCTTTGGTTATCTTATTCAAAACCTAGTATACATAAGTTCATTTGGAGGTTTCAGTTTTGTGAAGTTTTCTTTGTTCTGTTCGAATGACAGTTTTGTAGAGTTAGAGCTACAGTTGACTTTGAGAAGAATGGCCAAACCATATGTATTTGCTTTGTGTTCTTGTACTGTTACCTTATACTCTCTCGCTCGGTTCTTTTGCTTTCTGGCATGGCGACCACTTTTTGGGATTTTGTATTAACTTGTACTTCTCTCAGTATAAGATTTTATTTCGCACTCTAGGATATCAAAGTATGCATAGAACTGACTTTGATCCGTCTTTGCCTACTTTTTCAACAGACGGTTTTATAAATATAAAGGCAGTGGAAGGTGTGACGACCATAGCTCTGCTCCTCCTTGTGCAGGGTAAGCAACTGCCTATGCGCTATTCTCTGCGCTGTAACTCTATCAAGCATTACTTTGCTGAAAAGTTTCCTTCGGGTGTTTGGTATGGTCTGTTATAACAGTTGGGTGGAAATGATGGCACCTGTATTTTCAAGAACTGCTTGGCAATGTGTATGGTACATGATCCAGGTACACAACCCCCTACAAAACCAATACCAACCACCACAGCATCATCACTTATTTTTGGTAGTAAACAACAGTATACGAAAAATTGATGAGTATGTGCAAATAGATTTCGTTATTTAAGCCCCGCCATTTTTTTTTAAATAATGGCGATGCTGAATAATCCATGTAAGTTAAACACAAAAGGATGGCTTGTAGTAGAAACAACCATTAAATGGAAAAGAAATATTTTGGAGAATTTGTACTATTTTCGAAGAAGAGAATCTGGTTGATCAGGTCAGTAGCCTTGCTAGCAAGTATACAGTTACTATGCTCTGTATTTCTTCTGAAATTTCGGAAGTCAAATTGGATATGATAAATCTGTACTATAAATCTGTACTATATTTCTATTTGTTCTTTATAGTAATTTGCTTAGAAGAAACTTTATCGTGATTATTCTCTGATTATTTATTATCCCTACAGAATGATTTGGTCCATGCATGGGGCCTGGATGTGCAGCTTGGTTATTGTGCACAAGTAATTTTCCTGCCTCATTGCTTCCATTTTTAAGTCTCTTAGTTATTGTTCACAAGTACTTTGTGATAACAGAACGTTTTATCTTTCAGGGAGATCGAACACAAAACGTTGGTGTGGTTGACTCAGAGTATATAGTTCATCTTGGTCTTCCTACGCTTGGTGTCTCAGATGGAAATAAGGCAAGCATCATGGCATCTTGGGTTGTTTAACTATTTAAAATAGTAACGTGGAAGACTTGTCTTGATTGTTATTCCATACATCTATAGCAGATGCAGCATCATTAGTGTGAAATAGTTGGATTGATGCAATATGCAGTCTATAAACATTTCAAACATATTATTTATTTTGTTCTAGCAGGATAAGCTCGCCTATGGTCTTGACGTTCCATATTATTTTCTGACCTTTTTCTCTTTCCCATCTATTCCTTTGCATAGGTGACTAATTCCCCAGACCCATCTCAGAAGGGGGACTCGAAAGCATTGGTGTGTTTTGAATTTTTCCTGTACTTGATTGTTTTGTTTTTTCAGTCAATATATTAGAATCTTTATTGACCTATAATGTGAGTTCTAATGTGAGTTCATCATTTGTAATTTCAGGCCCCATCTGCCTCTGATAAAGTCAATGGTAGATCTAAAGTAAGCATTCTTAATTTGTCTAATTTTCGTAAACTGCTCTGTCCTTTTACTATCTCGTATTATCTCCCTCTCCGTGCACACCCACGCATTTGCAGGCGATGTAAATATTGTGTAAATTCATATACATTGTTTGCAACTACTTATCCCGCGAATGTTATTTGTTGGCAGGTTAGGATGCAGTCCTTTATTGATATGCAGATCTTTAAGGAAAGATGGAGTAATGCAGTAAAGGAGGAAAAATGTTGGGTTGACCCGTATCAACTAACAACAAACTGAAGCGAGCGTAAATCCTATTTATAGGACATCCATCATGCAAAATGCAAGGTTGGTGGCCATCCTTATACAGAAAACAGAAACCAGAATAGCGTAACTGTGCATACATTTATCGCGTGAGAATATATCGCAATCGGTGTATAGATTTTTGTGGTGAACCAAATTCATTTGAACTGCCGACTGGCGTGGAAGTTGTGATGTGAAATTAACTTACCAATGCTGTATAGCTGGTGTTGGTGCCTGGCGACACAATGCATTGTTGTATTCCAGGAAGGAACGATCGGACCAGCTTTCGTGTTGGTGATCATTGTAAATTTCAGCAAATAAAAGGATCTTCCTGTCGATGTGTGTAAACCTATTGATTCATTGATTTTTGATAACGTGTGTAAGGCGGTTCGGAATAATGTTTCGGGTGAGGGAGGTTTTGAGCTTCTGTTTTGTTCTGCGAATTTGCTGTCTGTTGAGATGCATTTGTGAGTAAAGCCACCTGTTTATCTTTGTTGGTTTCTCTCAATTACAACACAGATACAAGATTATATCTCAATACCGAATGACATGTGCTTTCGAAATACAAAAATGATCTTTAGGGTTGCGTAGCGCCTGTGATAATACGCAGGCTCTTGTACGCGTGGAAGGCAAGTAGAATCCTACCCTAATTACAGTTAAAAATTATATTTCTGTAATACATGTGATAATTACGGATGAATTATACACACCACAAACTGGGAAAGCCTGATCGGACAGGTTTGGAATGAAGAAAACCATGGTGACGTTCATGAAGCGCCTTGTTAAGGAGGTTGGCAGGCTGATTGTAGAGAAATATAGCAAACTCAATGACTGCCAAGAGCTACATTTTCAAGAACAAAATGATAATCAGGTTCAATACGACGTATGCGAGCATGATGAACTGGATTAGAAGCAAGGTAAGCGGCACTAAGATCGTCTCGGTGCGGTAGCTGGGGCATTCAGGGAAGCTCGAAAATTTGCTTCTCATAGAAACTACAAAATGTTTTTATTGAGGGTGACTCCAAACTTGTCATTGGCACCATACCGGGCCACTCCTCAGTTTGACTCTACCTCGGCAGCATGTTTTAAAGAAAGCAAATTTCTTAGCGGATGCCATTACAAATGTGTGCTATTCTGTTGGTGAGCACTTTTTATGGATTTAAAACAACTATATACCGTTGTTTGCTAGGAATGCTGTTTTTTTTTTTAGACCAAGTTTTCATCCATCTACTTGTACGAACGCGCAATTTCTAGAGGAGCAGAGAACCCACACTACTGTATCTCTCGCATGTCAACAGAGCCATCACGATTGTTGTCGAATAGGTCAAGGATTCGGGGTGGTAGAGGGATTAGAGACGACGCTTTCATTGCTTTCTTTACCTCTTCGAATTGGACACCATACATGATTTGTATGGCACACCGGTTTGTGTTGCACCGGCTTTATGAACGGCTAGATTGAATGTTTGGATTACAGCATGCAAATCTAACCGTCCATTTAAGCGGTGCATCCCATACACTGGTGACTCGTAGAATTTTCGTGCAACGGATCAAAATAATTGTAGCCGATAGCAAGAAAAGTTAAAAACAATCTCTTCCAAAGAAACAAGATACAGGTGCAGCTAAATATGTAAAAACCACCACATATATAGATGTCTTCTGTATATACATCACACAACGACATTCCAACATCGACTTAGTAACGGAAAATTGTTTCCAACATTTCAGCAAAAGCACGGAACACCAGACTGGGTTTTCCGGTCCCTTATTGGATTTACTCAATACTGCAACTAGATATACCTATTCTTAGACAAGAGAGTTGCGGTATGGGAAACCCCGAGTTCTCGAGGGTTAGAAACGTCTAAAAAGTCCAGCAGATAAAGAAGCAACTAAACATGACAAAGCTTCTTTATTTGCTCAACCGTGTAAACCACCCGCAAACACAGATTTGGGTTATGACATATTGGCATATAAACATCTAACAAGTCCAAAAGATAAGAGAAGCAAATAAAGTTGAAAAGAAGCTTCACCTAAACTGTGGGACTCCAACGCGTATGTATTGGAGCAGTCAATATAAGAATAACCCACTTCATGGGAACCAAGGGTCTTGGTTCAGCGGCGGGTCCATAACATTATAACCAACAGGCGCCAAGTGCAAGGGGGAGCCAAATCTTATGTCGACATCTTCGTTGGAATTGTTACCAAACGGAGAATCAAATGCCATCAACTGATCGAACTGAATTTCCGGGGATGAAAAATCTGGATGAAGCATAGGCATGGGGGTCTGTTCCGACATGTTCATGTTGTGTCCTATGTCCGGCCCTTGACCGTATAAGTTATCATTCATCGGAAATTGAAAGTTAGCCTGCTGCTGATTGCGATCATCTACATCATTTAGGTTTCCAGGATTGCAGTTCTTGTTTTGCTGTATATTACCATCATAGAATGACATAAGCTCTGATATCATTTTCTGCCCATCCTCAGCAATTCCAAGTCCCGAAGAATCAAACCTACCTGACTGGTTCACTGGTTGTTGAATTCCAATTCTCGAAGCATCCAACCTACTTGACTGGTTCACTGGTTGTTGAATTCCAAGTCCTGAAGCATCGAACCTACTTGACAGGTTCACCGGTTGTTGAATTCCAAGTCCCGAAGCATCGAACCTACCTGACTGGTTCACCTGCTGTTGATTTCCAAGTCCCGAAGCATCAAACCCACTTGACTGGTTCACTGGTCGTTGAATTCCTGGTGTTGGTGGTTGAGCAATGGGTAGAGAGAAGCCCACAGGTTTCTCATTGTGAATCTGAAAGCTTGACATTCCCAGAACTTGTGAAGAATTATTCCGGTATGGACAATTCAACTGATGATTGTTTCTTGCAGTTATGTCAAGAAAACCTAGGCGGTAATCATGATATGGGCACTGCAGATATTCGCAGGTGTAATACTTCTGATCTAACATCATTTGTGGCTCTTCAGCCAGCTGCTTCCTCTTCGGACCAAAATCCGAGTTGATCTCGATGAGCTCTCCCTTAACCTGAGGTAACACCTGCCTCTCTCTTTGTCCAGTGGCTCCAATGTTGAAGTGACTAACAAGAGGTTTGCAATCCTCTATTTCAATATTTTCATCATCATCAACCCCTTCAACATCATAATCACTAGTACCACTGATTGCGACAGACTCACTCCCACCAGCAAATGGAGGTGGACATCTATCAGGATATAGCCTCCGGGCCAAAGCTTCCTCCTGGTTTATAATGGCTAGCCAAGTGGCGCTCTCCTTAGCAGTCATTTTGTCCTGCAAACATTTGGACTGACGAACAAGCTTGCGGATCTTTGCAACATCTGGCGACATGTGCTTAATCACAGCCGTGAGAACACCAACCTTCCAAGCCTTCTTCAGATCATGAGGCTTCTTGTATGGGGGAGGACCCTGATCCTGGGAGAGATTTAGTTGAGGCCACCATTCCTCGTTACCAGTAGGCCACCAAGGAGGAGCAACACCCTTCTCCAACGGGAAACGTCTTTGGGGTGGATTGCAGTGCTGCATCAAAGCTGACAAAAGTGAACCAAGAGTGGTGTCTTGGAGCTCCTGTAAGGTGTGAGGAGTGGATGCCACTGCACCGAAGTCTTCATTCTTCCCAGGGATTGAATGATCTGCCTGATACTTAGAAATCGCAGCCGGGCCATTACGATCAAATCTTACTTTTTCCTTCCACCATGCTCGCAGATTGTCAGAGGCACCACTCACTGGTTTTCCTTTTTCAGGGATAATTCCATAAACAAAACCCTGAGCTTTGCAAACTTCCATCATTTTCAGCATATATTTCAGGATTCCATCTTGTGCCCGTGACATCTTCTTCCTCCGCGCTTGTTCCTGTGATTGACGCTGTCTTGCATTATCAACTCCTTCCCTTCCCTTAGTTTGTTCTTTCAGCCTCTTCAATCGCATTCGATCTCTCCACATCCTCTTCTCGAGCTCATCAACATCCATTTCTTCATCACTATAATCCTCCTCCACAGTTGCCTCTTGTTCATGTTCTGGAGCTGCATCCCCTTCCCCAGATGGAGCCAAAAGATAGTCAAGATTACCAGAGAAACCTAACTCCTCAAAGATCCCCATTTAGCACCGACACAAACCACGTCAACTTCTCCGCCCTTCTCTCACTATTAAAAAGATTTCCAATCTTGCGCACAGTACTTAGCTTTAAAACTTCTAAGAGCCAAGATTTGCCACTCAACCAGGAAACATAAAGAAAATCAAAGCTACTGCAAATGAAATAAATTACCAAAAACTCAGTTCAATCCAAAATTGTAGCAAATCATAGATCAGGTACAATGAACTAGCAGTAATGACTTTAATTCAATGAACGTTTTAAGTTTACGAGGGAAAGTTATAACTTCATAAATACGGCTAATCACAAATATAATACCGTAAAGAAGTCAGAATCACTACCATATATTAGATGGGCATCAATCCAGCAACTAATCCAAGCAAGCAAACAAGGGAACGTAACGGATCTCCTTGTTTTCACATTCAGAATGCAAAAGGAAATAAAAGAACCAAAAGATAATCCCAACACATGGCCCTCATCACTACAAGCAACAAAAGATGTGATTCTTGAATAACCCAGAAAAAACGAGAAAACAACAAAATGAAGAAAAATATATGATATCCACCAGGGTCACGAAAATCGCGAGGTAGTAGCAATAAAAACCAAATTTAAGTAACACGTAATACCCTTCAACTGCGAACGGACTAAAGCTGAAAGAACAGAGCCAAGCACCTCCAGATCTACTATCATCCAGATTCATTTTCTTCACAATAACACATTATTAACGAGTATTGACAGCACCAAGTTTTGGGTTTTTAATTATTGTTTACACAAACTGATACAGCTCATAACGCCGGCTTACAGCAAATATACCACCTATCAAAGCAACCTGATTCACTTACTAATCCATTTTCATCATTTAATATAAACCCGGAAATTCAACGGATCTATCAATCGAGATCCAAACATATCATTTCCAAATTTTGCAAAAAAAAATATTAAAACACAACAAAATAAAACCCTGGAAATAAAAATCAAACAGAAAATTAAAAACTATAGTAAACAACAAGGAACACCAAACAAAACCCAGAGAGAATCTATTACATATACCTGGAAATGACCAAGAGAAGAACCCTAGAGTGTAAGATACAACAGAAGCAAACAGATCAACCATAAAATACCTTGAAAAGTCACAAAATTGAGAACAAATATATTTATTTATTAATTAAGCAGATAAGAACAGATTAACCTAAACAACAAACAGAACAATCAGATATGGAAAAAAAACTAGTACTTAATAAAAAACATAAATAAATAAATAAGCAGAAAGTGAAGGTACCTGCTTGATTGATATCATGTGGTTGTAGGAGGCATTGGAGCTCCTTAAGCACTCTCTGATTGCTCAGACAGAGAGAAATAAGAGAATTTTTTACTTGTCAGAGGAGAGAGAAGAGGATAGAGTGGCGGCGACCAGCTGGCTGTAGGGACAAGGATGTCAGGAGAAGCAAGCAACAGTGTCCTATTTAACTAGGGTTGGGTTACGTTTTAACCGCGGTTGATGCGTGGGGTAATCTCTTGTTTTTTGGATATGGAATAAATGAAGGGGTAATTGATTTCATTTTTGTTTGTTTGGGTTGCATCTTCAGAGAAATGTCAAAAAATCCATTCAGTAATAACAGTAAAATAAAAAGACAATACTAATGTTTTTTAATCGAAATGTCAATTTATAAGTAACAAAACGTGAAATAACAGCAAAACTTTAAAGTTTATGAGAGTGTCACATGGCTATCAAATTTGATATCCCGAGTCATATTTTTGAATTTGGATATAATAGTTTACTACAACATTCACTAGGATATAGAATAATTATTTAGAAAATTACGTAGTTCTCTTTAGAAATGTTTATTTTATTGAGGTACACATCATTAGTGTACAACCTCTTTTTTTTTTTTTTTTTTTTTTTGTATTTTTTGTAAAAACAATATTATCTATACTAAAACCATCTCCAACCTTTGGGGATAAAACTTAAAAATTTAAGTCAAAAAATTTTAAGTTATAACCTAATGAACAAGAAGAGGAAACCGAGAGAAAAAGAAGACGAAGACGATGAGGAAAAGGAAAGAATGAAAAATAATAAAAGTTTCCGATTTTCAAGGCATTAAAATGGTCTCCTTCATTTGGGAGTCTCTAAGTTGATGTGAGTGATGGGGACTGTGGGTGAAGGGGAGGGGTCACACCTCACATGTGGTGCTTTATGAAATGGGGAAGGATGCATGCACCTCTTCATACTTATCTCTTTATGATTTCTGACCTCAACTTTCAATTGCTATATAGGTTTTTGACCGGTTTTGGTGCTCCAAAGTTCAAAATGGGACACCAACCCAGATAAAATCATAAATAAAAAAGAAAGGATTTTGGGGATGATACCAACGTGCGTGGTTTGATTAAGGGATGCCTGGCATGTCTTCCTAGTAGTTTTATTATGGGAATTGGATCCTCTCTTGAGCAAAGGATTGGGATCCTCTTGACCTAATAACATGGGCCGTTGGATTTTGATTCAACGGTTACAAATAGGGGACCACTCTAAAAGTTATAATAATTTTAGCCGTTGGATCAAAATCCAGTGCCCCATGTTAGTGGGTCAAGAGGATCCCGAACCTTTGCTTAGGGGAGGATCCTGAGCCTTTGCTCAGGAGAGGATCCAATTCCTTTATTATGAACCACCCAACCCACTACATGGGATTTCTACTTTTTTTTTTTTTTAATTAGATATAATCATTTAAACTGTCTTAAGTTATATGACATATATGCTTAATGTGTTATTTTAGACTTGTTGGATACTCTTTTTGTATTTTATTATTCTTTTATTATCTTATTCATGAATTTCATACAAGTATAATTTTTTATGTGTCAATATGCACTTATTTACAAGATATACAAGAAATTTACCTAAATCTGTCTATGCACCTGTCTAGATCCCGTCTAGCCACCTAGGCACTAGGCGCCAACCCACCGCCCGACTAGCAGCTAGCATTTTTTAGAACCTTGGTTAGAAGTGATTTTTCGTCTAAAAAAAGTTAGAAGTGATGCTAGTCCGTATTTTTTTGTTATTTATGTCTCTTGGTGATACCAAGCAACATATTTTTAAATTAAAAAAAAAAAAAGGTTTTCTAAATATTCACCTTTGAGTTTGGATGGATTGGACAAGGATTCTCTCCGGATCTTTTTTGTGGGGATCTAGGAATCAATCAATTGTGTCCATTCATCGTATATCGTGCGGCTAATTTTCATTAGGTGCTATTTATATTTAATTTAAAAATAATTTCTAACCGCATGATGTACAATGAGCGAACACAATTAATTGATCCTTCAAATCCCCACAAAGAGGATCCTATTCCAGATTTTTATACTATCCTATGTACTATCTTAAGTTCTGTCAAAATGAGTTATGTAAAAAAGACCATTACTACAATTGAATTAAAGTTGATATGGACCATTGCTCCAATTGGATTAAAATTGAGAAATAATTTCTCCAATTGAGTTAACGTTAAGGAACCATTAATACGGTTTTCTCATTTCATTTTTCATATTTGTCATTTAGTTCAGCCTTGTGCGCTTGGCATTCACTTTTTTTAACAAAAAAAAATCATAAATGCACGTTTTGATTACAATTGCATGGCCAGCAAATAGTCTTATCTGATATACCTGTGAGCATAGAACTCAATGAAACACATTATTATGAGGTCAATCTTGGATTTATATGGCTATTAGATCCGTCCAAAGGTCAATTTTGAGATAACGAATAAGGCACCAGAAATGTCAACGTTGTAGTTAATGCCATTCGTATAATCGTATTCATTAGATAAGATATTGTTAATGTAACGTCGATTTTTAAAATTAATACATTTTTAGTACTAGCACGTCAATTTATTTTTTGAACAAAGAATAAATATTTTTCATATTTTTTTGTCAAATAATAAATTTATTAAATTAAATTTTAGATTAAAAAATCAACGAGATTCAAATCCACTGTGGCAAAGAACCACTTGCACTAGCACGTCCATGTTAAGTTGTTAATATAACACAGGTCGACTTTTGGCGGGTCAATTTCAAAAAGCCTACTCATTATAGAAGCTTGGGAGGGCCGGAAGGACCCATGAGTTGAGCCCTCAGTCCACGAGGTGTGAATTCCCCGTGCTCAGCAGCAATCGAAAAAAACTTGTGTGAGACTCAACGTGCCACTTTCTGTGGCATTACGATTCAATCAAAATTTGACATGTGGTTACATTTAAGTACAATATCTTATTTACATAAAAACTAAAAAAAATATTATTTTTGACATTAAAACAAAAACACACATCTAAAGTTCATCCACAGGAAAAGCCTGGAAGATAAACTTTTATATGGGTTGATGTTGATCAATTTCCTAAGTAAGGGATTAATTGGAATTGTATAGACTTTGGTCATGAAAACAATTACATATAATCGAATTCATATTCGTTTTTATTTTTTTTCTTTTTTTCAATGATGAATCATTTTCTACAAACACAAAACATTTCTCCTTTATTTTTCAAAGAATTAGACTAACCATGACAGGAAAATCTATGAGAATGGAAAATATAAAGCTTATTACCTCAAATTTTAGTCAAACGATACCGACATCCGCACCGGAGAGTGAATTCTCAGATGATAGAGGATTACTTTAGTTGGGTGATTGGAGTCTACTTTTAATTTTACTATTTTTTATAATATATTTTTAATTTTTATGTAATTATGAAATCTTTAAAGGGTAACATAAATCTGAAATCATAATTAAAAATCTTACCATATGTTAAATTTTGATTGAGTCATAGTGCCATTAGGCATTATCCAGTGGCACGTTAAGTCCACACAAGTTTTTCTCACAGCAATCATAACTGGTTTGGTAAGGTGTTTTTATAAAAAAATAGGAATAAAAAAAAGGGCTCAAAAAAATGTTTGGTAAATACTTTAAAATAGCTTATTTTCACAGTTTTGGGTGGAAAAAAACTGAAAACGTGAAGCAGTAAAAATGAGCTTATTCTCACAGCAGAGCAAAAACAGTTCTTTTTTTTCAATGCACATCAATACCAAACCAGTCAGCACATCACCAGCTGCAGAGATTTCTCTAAGGGTGTGTTTACGTATCTGTAATCGGAATGAGAATGTGGAATTGAATTCCGATTACCGAGAGTGTTTACTAAACATGGAGGGATAAAAAAGCAGTGGGGCCCACATAAATTTTGGAATTCAATTCCTTGTATTGGTGGAATTGGATTCCCTAGATATAGGTGGTAATCCAATTCCTGATTGTTTGGGCAATCGGCATGACACTTTTGTTCCTTTTATGCCCTCACTTACTTTTTTTATTTCTAAGACTATCCTTTATAAACCCATTAAAGTATATAAAATATTTGATTTGGGACAAGGACATTTTAGTAATCATACTAGTTTACATTCCGATTTTGCTGAATTAGTAAACAGCTTTATAGAATTCTATACCGATTCCAGAACATTTAAGTAAATAGCTTCAGTAAAACTCCTTACAATTCAATTCCTTCCCAATTCAATTCTTTGTATTTCATTACCGTAAACGCTCAGTAAATTCCAAAACGAATCCCAAACAAACCTACTATTTTCTCTTCCCTCCTCCTCCTTCTTCCCACTCTCCAACTCATACAGCATTTCTTGGTCTGCACACGATGAAGTGAATTGGGTCGGGTCTTCCACCAATGTCCGCAGAAGAAGATGATGAGAAAACCCATGGCCGTCATCTGCCACCCACCTGAGCCCTTCCTCTTCCTCCTCCTCAAACCCTTTTATTCCGTTTCCTCCCCCGCCACCGCTCCTCTTCCCTTCTCCCCCGAACCGCACGATCTCTCCACCCAGCTCTTCTCCCTTCTCTCCCGCCCCAATTGGCAGCGCCACCCTTTCCTAAATAAACTTGCCCCCTCCATATCCCCTGCCCATGTCTCCTCAGTCTTCACTCTCAAACTCGACCCCCAAACGGCCCTCGGATTCTTCAACTGGATTGCCCTTAAACCCGGATACAAGCACACTGTCCAGTGCCATTCTTCCCTCCTCAACATTCTCCTTCCCAATGGGTTTCTCCAGGTTGCGGAAAAGATCCGAATTTCCATGATTAAGGCTTCCAGTTCCCCTCAAGATGCCGTTTTTGTGCTCGAATATTTGCGGGCATTGAATGGCGCCGAAGAGTTCGAGTTCAAGCTCACCCTCAGGTGCTACAATTTTCTTCTAATGTCCTTGTCTAAGTTTTCCCTGTTTCAAGATTTGAGAGCTCTGTACTTGGAGATGTTAGACGATATGGTTTCGCCAAATCTGCATACTTTTAATACCATGATCAATGCTTACTGTAAATTGGGTAATGTGGCTGAGGCAGACTTGTATTTCAGTAAGATAGGGCAGGCGGGTTTGCACCCCGATACGTTTACCTACACTTCCTTGATACTGGGGCATTGTAGGAATAAGGATGTGGATAGTGGTTGTAGTGTTTTCAAGCTAATGCCGCAAAAGGGTTGTCAAAGAAATGAGGTTTCCTATACTAATTTGATTCATGGGCTTTGTGAGGCTGATCGGATTGATGAGGCTCTCAAGTTGTTTTCTCAAATGGGGGAGGATAATTGTTTTCCGACTGTGTGTACATTTACAGTTCTTATTTGCGCCTTGTGTAAATTGGGAAGGAAAATAGAAGCTATGAATCTGTTTAAAGAGATGACGGAAATGGGTTGTGAACCAAATGTTCATACTTATACCGTGCTCATTGATAGCATGTGTAAGGAAAATAAGCTTGATAAGGCAAGAAACTTGCTAAACAAGATGTTGGAGAAAAGGTTAGTTCCTAATGTTGTCACGTACAACGCAATGATTGATGGGTACTGCAAGGAGGGAGCAGTTGAGGCTGCACTTGGTATTTTGGCTTTGATGGAATCGAATAATTGTTTTCCAAATGCTCGGACGTACAATGAATTGATTTGTGGATTTTGTAAAAGGAAAAATATACACCAGGCGATGGCACTGCTTGGTAAGATGCTTGATTGGAAACTCTCACCAAGCCTATATACATATAACTCATTAATCCATGGGCAGTGTAAAATAGGTCATTTGGAGAGTGCTTATAGGCTGCTTAATTTGATGCAAGAAAGTGGTTTGGTTCCTGACCAATGGTCTTACAGCTCTCTCATAGACACACTCTCTAAGAAGGGGAGACTGGAAGAAGCTCATGCCCTGTTTGATTCTCTCAAAGAGAAAGGCATAAAGTCGAATGACGTGATCTTTACTGCTTTGATTGATGGTTATTGCACGGTTGGGAAAATCGACGATGCCCATTCTTTGTTTGATAGAATGCTTGCAGAAGACTGTTTGCCGAACTCATACACTTACAATACCTTGATAGATGTGTTGTGTAAAGAAGGAAGACTGAAGGAAGCATTATCACTGGTAGAAAAGATGGTAAGTATTGGTGTGAAAGCTACAGTACATACTTATACAATTCTAATTAAACAAATGTTGAAGGAAGGGGACTTTGACCATGCTCATGGGCTTTTAAACCAGATGGTTAGTTCTGGTAATCAGCCTGACCTATTTACTTACACCACCTTTATTCATGCATATTGCGGCATAGGAAATGTAGAAGAGGCAGAGAAATTGATGATTAAGATGAATGAAGAAGGAATTGTAGCAGATTCGTTGACTTACACATTACTAATTGATGGATATGGACGCATGGGATTAATTGATTGTGCATTTGATGTTCTTAAGCGCATGATTGATGCTTCTTGTGATCCTTCGCATTATACCTACTCCTTTCTGATCAAACATCTTTCAAATGAAAAGTTGACAGAGACAAGGAATAATATAGTGGGAATGGATTTGATCTCAAATGTCTCCTTAATTGATATTACTGATGTGTGGAAGATAATGGATTTTGACATTGCTTTAGACCTTTTTGAAAAAATGACTGGGCATGGTTGTGGACCCAGCACCAACACTTATGACAAACTTATAGTAGGTCTTTGCAAAGAGAGGCGCTTGGAAGAAGCCCAGAGGTTACACAGTCATATGAAAGAGAGGGAAGTTTCTCCCAGTGAGGATATTTATAATTCTCTTCTTAACTGTTGCTGTACATTGCAAAAGTATGGAGAGGCAGCAATCTTGGTGGATGCGATGATTGAGGATGGTTATTTACCGACATTGGAGTCCTCCACGTTGCTTGTATGTGGGCTTCTTGATGAAGAGAAGAGTGAGAAGGCAAAAGCAGTTTTTCGTACTTTGCTTCATTGCGAATATAATTACGATGAAGTAGCTTGGAAAGTTCTCTTTGATGGTTTACTTAAGAGGGGTCTTGGCAATATATGCTCTGAGCTCATAAGCATCATGGAGAAGATGGGTTGCCGGCTTCATCCTCAGACATATTCAATGTTGATTGAGGGAATCAATAATCCGTAAAACTGCTGGATTTTTTTTTCTTCTGGGATTTAATTCTTTATCTGTGAGCACTACTGCAAGCAAAGTGATTTTAAACCTTATATTCCCAGAGATCTGGTAAGATGTTCTTAGCATCTATGTGGTAACTGCTGTTATATTTCACTGTTTTGGCTGATTTGATGTTTTAGATAACTGATGCATGAAATACCCAGAGACTTATGCATGCTTATTTCCTGCTCACTAGCCAGTAGCCACTAGGTACTAACTGCAAATTGGGAATTGGAAATATTAGAATTTTATGCTTTTGTTTGATGTGGATGCACAAGAAGTTAAGACCTTAAATGGTGAAATGTCAAATTACAGTTTCGAAGCCATTCAGTCAACGCTTTATATAAAAGAAAATTGGGCACTGGCTTTATATTTGACACATAGACAAATGTGAATGTACATTTAGGCATGATAAATTTCCCACCAAAAAAAAAAAACAAACTCCACTCAAATGCATATCACGTAGTAATATTTCATATTGTTTGCCATATGGTGTCATTGTACTGGGGAAAGTCTCAAACCCCAAACCCTAAATTAAGGTTAAAGTTTTTGCTTCGCATTCGTCTTAACAGCGTCATCTTAGTTTTTCCAAAATTATCTGACATTTGATCATCCTACTCCTTGTTAGGTGCTGGTCCTGTATTGCAATGAAGATCTCGTGCGGTAAAAGGGGTTAGCAGTGTTTGTTTGCCCCATGCATATGCCGACTATATTAGCAAACCAAACGCAAGAATGCAAGGTCGGTGGTCGCCATTCTTGTACTCATCAGAAAACAGAAATCAGTACTGTACGGCTGTGATTGTGCGTGCAGATTATCAGGCGCAGAACCAGCTGAGCTGGGGGAGCTTGGAAGGAAGTGGCTGGTATTTACTCGATGTACAGCCTTACTCGCTGATACGATATATCTCAAACAATGTATATTTTCCTCACTGATTACAGACAGCAGATGACAAATATTTCAAGTCCGAAGAGCAATCAATTTACGATGTATTATGTTTCTGTTAAGTTCCCACGTAATGCAATCCCGTTTTAAAAGATTGTTCAGTTGAGGGCGCATGTTTGTGCTCATTATCTCTGCTCCTACAAGCTTTCTTTTCTTTGTATTTGTAACGGGTTCGATTTGTGCGTGTCATCCTCATCCTTGTAGTTGTATCGAACCCACCGCGACTCATGAGGACATCACCAATCTGGACCCTGAATCAGATTGGTTGTTGGCTAATTAAAACAAACTAATTGGTAATCATACTACTAATTCTCAACAAACTGGATTTGGATGTGGCTTACACCAAGAAACCAAAGTTGATGTAGGCGATCATTAACGAGACATTGCTTCAAATTCCGAAGCATAAAGTGGCAGCAATGAGAGAGGAAGTCATAAGATTGATTCCGAGAGTGATATATGCAGATCCAAGGGCATCCAGATTGGAGACAGTTGAAGATGCATTCGAAATAGCAGTTAAGGGAGTGCATGGCAAAGTACAGAAAACTAGGAAGGACATGAAAGAGGGTAGAGATCCTGGTAATGCTTTCTGGGAAATAAACCCTACTGAATTCGATATGCCTAAGCCCGGGATGAGGGGAAGAAAATTCAAACAGAAGTATAACTGAGTGTTTATTAATAAGCAACAATCGTGTTACAATGCAGGTATTTCCAAAAGTTCAATCACATTTGAATTTGGAATTAGCTTTCTCTACATTTATATAGTACCTTCCCTGTCCTAATTGTATACCAGAAAAGAATGTAGAGTGATGAATGATTACTTTTATCCGCCATCGAAGTCCTTAGCATGAGCAAGCATACATTAGGTTACAATGTTGGCAAACCTGTCTCCTGTTTGGAACTTCAGGACCTCGGTTTCCACACCAGCAATTAGCTACTGTGGCCAATTAATCAAACCTTACAGCGAGCCGATTTAGCTGCTACTTTGCTTTGCATCGCGGATGTGGAACATAAGCTGCAAGATATGCAACTTCAGACCAATCATAGAAACAGAGCAGACACACGCACTACGATATATATACAATTGTCTGCTTATGTAAATGTTCGAGTTTAGAGTATATATCAGAAACAAAACTGAACGAAATCCTGAAACGTCATTTTGATACAAGATAAATATAAGCCCAAAATACATAAGAAAACATCTGGATTCCTAATGACTAGGTTCCATTATATTTAGGCATGCGAAGAAATCATGAAAATAAACTATAAAATAAATTTTTTTACGCATTTTCCATCTCAAAACTTCACATTGTGCCTTAACTCTGCAAAACTAATTCTTAAAGGCGACATATTTAAACTTCACCGTTAAAGAAATGAGCAGATAATTGAGACATTACCTTTGTCCCTACATAAAATGTCAAAAGCATGCCTGCCAAAACGGGAAGTCCTGTACAAAGAATATCATCAGTCCCCTCAGAAGCAGCGTTGTATAAGGATAACAAGAAACCTCAGGACATGAAATTTCAAGTTACCTTCTCGTTTAAGGAATTGAGAAATCAACCAACTAATCCCAGATGGTCCAATAACAAAACCAACAAGGTTTGCTACCTGCATAAACATTGAATGCTTCTATTGTTAGCATTTACGAATTCTTGTAAACACATAAGGTGATTTCCAGTTTGCAATACCCACTAGTTTGGCAAATGCATATAACACGATACATTTTGAAGTGCTAAGTACGCTGAAACCAGTGGGATGTGCAAAAGAACCATTGCAAAAATGAAAATGTTAGGCTACCCTTCGCTCTTTAAAAACATATGTTTCAATAAACTGTCACTGTAAAAAAGGCCTTATGTGGCTTGAATCATTTAGCCTTTCAAAAGAGAAAAAGGCAAACAAATTTCGCAAAGGGAAGGAAAAGACTACTAAATGTTTATATTTGACAAGTGGAGAATTTCAGATATATAAGCGTCATCAAATTAATCTAAAAAAATAGAGCAAAATGACCTTATTATTACTTCCATTTCACTCAAGTAAAAGTGCAAATATCTAAATTCGATACCAGCATCAACAGGAATATAAAAATAGTTATGACTGGTATATGCTTTAATCAAATACAGGATACAGACCATGAGACAAGTGATAGTAATTGCACCAGCAACCGCACTAAGTTCACGAACAACAAATTCCCCATGAGTACTCTTAACCTGACAACAAATACATGACAAAATAATTATTAAGCTCGACAGATAAAAATAAAGGTTAACATACTCCTCTTCTCTTCCTCTCCCTCCCCTTCTCATCAAATAAGCTTCGCATATGTGTAAGTATGAAATAATGAACTACAACGAGAGAAATCACAAAGCAAAAGGGTTGCCAACATGGTTGAGTTCAAGAGCAAGTTTGTGATTTTTCTTACAAAACCCTGAGGGTGCGTTTGTTGCACCGAACTATCTCGGACTGGACTAGCTTTATAGACTAAGTTGGACTGGCTTAGACTAGACTAAGCTGGATTGACTTAGTGAAGCGTTTCGTGCAAAGTCGGACTAAAAAGCATAATTAAGGACAAAAAGGAAAAAAAAGTTTTTGTTAACAAAACTTTCTCCAGAATTTTCTAATGCAAAGAAATTGAACCCAACATCAAAATTTTTCTGTAGAATCCAACTACACCTAGCAACCAAATTTTACATTCTCTCAAAAATGTGATTTGAACCCTCAAATTTTACATTCTCTCAACCCAAAAACAAAACTTTCCAATAAATCAATGGAACCCAAAAGCCTAGCTGAAAACCCATCGAATTTTTCAATTGGGAACTCAACTTTCTATTGAATTAGCACTCATATGAATTAGAAGAACCTAGATAAAAATCACATTGATTTTTCGAACTTTAAAACTCATCTTTCCATTGATTTTCAATCTTTCCTCATTTTCCAAATTACCCCTCCACTCCTCTCTCTCTCCCTCCCCCCTCAAACTGTCAAATGTGCCCCAAAAACTTAACCCCTTTTCAGGAAGCCAAACATCCGCTTTCTAGAAAAGAGAGAGAAAGCACTGAAATTTCCACAGAGCTCCAAGACTTGTCGTCAAATTCAATGCGATTTCTCAACTGGGGACTTGAAATTCAACCTGGAATGGGCGTCCGCCATGGCCAACCTCTCGATCCGCTTCTCGGCTTGCAGCGTCGGAAGTTTCTCCACCGACAGCGGCGCCGCTTCAGCTGCCCCCCCCGGGCGCCGCGACTTGGGCCACGAAAGAGCAAGCACCGCGACGCCCTGGTGATGGCGCCGTAGAAGAAGCGGGGACTGTATGTCAGTGAGCAAAACTTGGGGATTAGATGTTGGCCTTCCTTTCTAGTCCCCCTTAATACCAAGCGAAAGCTTGGGATTAGATAGCCTGCTTTAGCGAACCCCGGAGGGCCTCGTAGTTGAGGCGAGTCCCATTTATTTTAGTCCGAGGACATACCAAACATAGTATTATAGTCCTACTTAAGCCAGTCCCTCCTAAGGAGGTGAAACAAACGCGCCCTCAAAGTACAAGATGAAGTCCACGATTTTTTTTCCCCTAAAGCTTGAAAGTCAGGGTACAATCTTCAAATTGATTGTCATCCAACAAATCAGAAACCCCTAATCCGCAAGCCAACAACAGCTAACTGATTGGGTTTATGGGAGGTACGAGAATTGGGATGATCATCCTCCCATTAGTTAAACCAAACAAAAGAAAAACAGCAAAGGTAATAGGAACAAAGAGGTCACCTGAAATGCATTGGTTGCTGATTTCAGTATCATTTCTGGAATAAAAAATAAGCATGTCAGCCATGCCCACGAAAGAAGCTTCCTAATGCCAAAGATAAAAATTAAGTTAGAATAAGGAACAAATTTCAATAAGGCTCTACTCCCATTTGACAGAAAGCTAAGATGTATTCAATAAGAAAAATTCAACAGCCAGCAACAAGTACCATTCTAGATCATGCCAAATGGCAACAAATGTGAATACAACCCATACATTGAGAAGCTTCCTCCGAGTGCCCCCAAGAGGAATGTACAAATACCTATTGTTTTCATGTCCCAAACAAACATGTCAGAGTTAGAAACAGGATTACAAGAGAAATTCAGAGCACAACAGGTTGAAAGTTTCACCTCACAAGCCATTTGTTGTAGGAAGCATGCCAGTTCTTCCAAAAAGTTTCCAAGTTGTAGCAATTATTTATACACCTCGGCATATTCTCAGGGGCCTCAATGCCACATATCTGCATTAATTAGAAAAAAAATCATTGTCCCACTGCAAAGCAATATCAATAGTAAAAGATACAACTAATTTATAGTAGACGGACAACCCAGCAGTAAACGCCAAAGTTCAGAAGAAATTGAAAAAAAAAAAAAAAAATTATTGACATATACACACCAGTGACCAGAACCGGAAATAGCGCCATATCAGAAAAAACTTTAGCCACATGAAGATTAAAACCTGCACCATCATAAGAAAGTAAATCACCTTTACCTAAGCCAAAACAAATAGATGAAGTCACCTAACAACTAGAATGGAAATCCAGACAAAGTGAAACGAAAATACTAAAAGACCCAATTAAAAAAAGGGTCTGATAAAAGTTCACCAAATAAGTTATATATCCAGGTAAAGTAACCAAGTAACTTTGCTTTGCGGCAGACTGCAGAGTGTATGAGTATGGTGAGGAACTTGAAAATACTTGCATAAGCAATTCTTACATCATATCTATGAGGAATGTAAAGATTACAATTTAATGATTGATAGTATTGCAAATGAACTTATTACAAATAACACTTTGGGGATTGATTTAACTTTTAATAACTAACTCTCTCATGCATTTTTCTTTGCTCAAAGAAGTTTATGGATACCATGTATTTTAAGATATACTTGTTCATTATTTTTTATATTCTCATAAGTAGGAACTATCACATTATTAAACATTTAGTCCATGCACAAAGAGTCTAAGGTAGGTGTGTTTTGTATATTCTGGAATTAATTACTACATTACTACCTCAAATTAAAAGTACATTATGCTGCTTCACAGCGTATTTCAATCATATAAAAAGCTTGAGATAGTAAAATTCTAATCATCAAAGACCTTGATACTGTAGGATCATCTCTTACCCC